CTGCAACGCCCCCTGCCCCTTTCGCCCTGTGGGCTTTTTCTCAGCCCTCAGAGTCCCTTCGGGTCTGCCATGCCCTCCAGGAGTCCTTGCTGGTGGCTTCACTTCCCACCGTGATCGTGGTGGCTTGACTGGCGGGCCTGTCCTTCAGCCGGCAGGGGCTGAGGAGATGCTGGTCCTGGGGACGCAGGGACGAGGTCCGTGGCCGCCCCAGTCTTGCTCAGGGCGGCCAGGCGTCCCTCCCACGGGCTCCTGTGCGCTTCCCAGTCGTGGCAAAGTCTGTCCACCCACTAGACCCAGGAGTTTCTGGAGGGGAGTGCCTGTGTCTCTTATTTCTGCACCCCCCAGCACCGAGGCTGGGTGTCAGAAGGCTCTTTATGACTGAGTAAACGAGCTAAAGGGAGAAACCAGACCCAGGCCCGCTGGGCCCACGGCCGTTGTGAAGTGGCGCAGAGGAGGAGGGAGGCGGCTTTGGGCGTGCAAGAGCCAAGCCAGCCACAGGTCCCGGTCCGAGGTCCGCAGCCACTCTCGAGGACTGGCCAGCAGGACGGAGGGCATGGCATGGCGGCCCGGGGGCCAACTCACTCCTCTTTTCCTGCCAGCGAGTAGGAACGGATCCAGGGGTTGGGCACAGACAGCCTGGGTGCCAGGTTGAGGGACGGCAGGAAGGCGGAGAGGGAGCCCTCCAGCAGGTGAGGGTTGCCACAGACAGCATACTCGGTCTTGCACATGTACGGGCACTTGGCGAAGAAGCACACGTTGCTGGCTGAGGGACAGGGAGAAAGAGGAGGACAGGGGAGAGGCAGGCTCTAGGGGCCTGTCATCTGCCCCAAGGCACCCGCAGGAGAGAAGGGAAGTCCTGAACCCCCAGCATGGAAAAAGGCAGCTGCAGAAGGAGACTCTCTTTTCCCGAAGTTGGGGCATGAATGCTACTAAGCGGAGCATCTTGGGTACCTATTTTCAAATGTCTGAGCAGGGAAGGTGAGGGACCCAGCCTCAGGGCATCCCGTTGGCAGGATCAGAACATCGTCCTGTGCACGGATGACATCCGCTCCAGGGCAGTCGGCAACAGAGGGGCAGTGCCCACACAGACCAGGCAGCCCGTGCAGCCTCTTGCCAGCCACAGGTCATCCTGTTACGCTTGAGCGGAGGTCTGACGACCTCACACGCCCCGCCGATAGTGGACAGTACAACTGGCGGGGCTTCGGACCGCTGCGGAGTATGATGGTGGGCACGCTGGCTTGCCACGCGCCCAGACCCAGAGTGCTGCTCTGGCTGGTGCCCTACCTGGAGAGACAAAGAAAACGCTCTGCAGGATTTCATTCTTGGTGACCTCCAGGACTTCCTTGGTGACGTTCACTAGCCTCCCCACTGCTGGCGGCACTCGTCGAAAGTCCAGAATCCTGAAAGAGAGGAAGCCCTGTTCGGACCCAGGAGGTGGTCAGGCAGTGGGGAGGGGGCCTTGTCTCTCAGCCAGCACATGAGAAATGGGCTGGCGTTCCTGGCCACGCCCAGCAGGACGGCCCTGGCGGGGGGGTCTCTGCGGTGTCCAGCTGATGGTGCCCAGGGAAGCCCCTGGTCTGAACGGGAGGGGAAGGGGAGAAGGAGAATCCTTATTCTGCCCAGCCTCATCCGTGGGCCTTCCCACCATCCATGCTGTGTTCCTGGCCAACGCCTCCTGTTTTTTAAAGTCCACGAGTCTCCCGGGAATTTTGTTCAAAAGCAGGCTTTGATTCAGTGGGTCTGGGGTGAGGCTCCTCGTTTCTGAAAAGCTGGGTGGGGCCCGTGACAACAGTCCACAGACCACACTCTGGGTGACAATGACTGAGCAAGTGGGAGCTAAAGGTTTAGAAACGCCTCGAGACTCCTCGGATATATGACAGTGGGCACATTCTCCTACCTCCAGACCAGGAGCCTGGAGCACCTGCCCTGAGCAGCATGGCAGGGCTTGGGTTCTTGCTAGGCTTTGCAGTCCATGGGGTTGCATGGGACAGGGCACGAAGAAGGTAAAAAGCCAGAAGGAAGAAATGCCAGGGAGCCCCCTCCTCCGGTCTGCCCAGCGCGCCCTCCCGGGGGAGTGGCCCCCAGGGCCAGGGCTGCCTCGAGGGGCAGACCCTACCGGTCCAGATGGAAGGCTGCGATCTCGGCGTTGTGTCTCTGGAAGTCGATGAAGTAGAAGAAGTCCTCAGGCGTCTCCTCCTCTCGCTGCTGTCTGGAAGGAAGGCAGGAGTCATGGCCTGGACTCAGGCTTCAGCCTGGAGCCTGGGAAGAGAGCCGGCAGGCCCGGCCGGCGAGAAAGGAAAACAGGCTGTTTGCTTTGCACGCACGGGTCGGTGATGGAACGACAAGTCAGGAACGGCCTGTGGTGTCCTTGGCCAGGAGAAGACCAAGGTGGGAAGGGGCGGGCTTCTCACAGGACACTGTCCTCAGGCGCCACCAGCACCGAGTTCCTGCTGAAGAAGCTTTGGCGACAGTGACTGATTCTGCTCAAAACCCAGCAGCTGAGAGGGGGGAAATGCAGACCACCTTCCGCAGGTATAACTAGGAGAGAAGGGACTGGTTAGCAGACCAGCGGCCGGACAGACCCAGGCGCCCGAGGATGAAGAGTGGTGGGGTGCCGGCCAAGACGTGGTCACGGAGAAGGGCCCTGGAAATGCAGTGCCGTGTGGGTTGGAAGAACAGAAAAGTGCTGGGGCTTGGGGTGACTTGGGAGACTTGAAGCCAACCCTCAGAGAAACCCGGGTGGGGCATGAGACTGGGCCCAGGCAGAGGGCTGGGGGAAGATGGCGTGGGTAATGCTGATTTAGATACAGGTAACAAGTCTCTACCAGGTTCCAGAAAAGCACCAGCCCTGAGAGTGAGGGGCCTGCTGGGCTTGTGTGTTCAGGAAAGTGCTTCCTGACCACCAAGGGCGTTGTGGTGTGACTTCCGGTCTCCGGTTAGCTTTGCCTCATTGCTAATAAACATGGGAAAATTATGATCTTCGAATGATTTTATAATCCACTGTGTGGGACTGTTAAGAAGGCTGCAAAAGCAATTCAAATGTAAATAAACATAATGCCACGGGAAGCTATAAAAAAACAGCGTCAGCAACGCAAGTGTGATGTGCACTTTGGCAAGAACACAGGCGAGTCCTGGGAGCTGTGGTAGGAGCTTCTCAGAGTGGAGTTCTGTTTTAAAGGTGCAGCCACACCTATAGCACAGCCCTCCATGCTCAGGCCTGACTGACTCCTCTTCCTTATCACCAGTGGGTGGCTAGGCCAGCGAGGGCAGTCCACGTCCCAGTCTCGTTTTTTTTTCGAGTTGGAGTCTCACTCTGTCGCCCAGACTGGAGTGCAGTGGCCGCTCCCGGCCACCGCAGCCTCGACCTGCTGGGCTCCGGCGATCCTTCCGCCTCAGCCTTCCGAGTAGCCGGAACTACAGGCACGCACTACCACGCCTGGCTGATTTTTTGATTTATTGTAGAGATGAGGTCTCGCTGGCCAGGCGGGTCTTGAACCCGCGAGCTCAGGCGATCCACTCACCTCAGTCTCCCAAAGGCGCGGGATTACAGGCTGAGCCACCGAGCCCGGATCCAGTCTCGTTTTAATTCCTGAATTCCATCCACACAAATCTATAACCTCTCAGACACTCTTGAGAGTTTTCCAAAACATCATGTCCTCATTTTTGCATGACATCGGATACAAGTGATGTTAAATTTGAAGACTGATTTTTACATCAGCATTTCTCAAAGTATGTACCTAGTTATTTATTTATCTGTTTGAGTCGGAGTCTTGCTCTGTCGCCCAGACTGGAGTGCAGTGGCACGCTCACGGCTACCCCAGCGTCGACCTGCTGGGCTCCGGCGATTCTTCTGCCTCAGCCTTCCAAGTTGCTGGAACCACAGGCGCACGCTACCATAACTGGCCAGATTTTTGCTTTTTTGTTTCTTATTGTAGAGATGAGGTCTCGCCAAGTTGCCTGGGCGGGTCTTGAACCCGTGGGCTCAGGCAATCCACTTGCCTTGGCCTCCCAAAGTGCTGGGATGACAGGCTGAGCCACCGAGCCCGGCCAATATGTACTTCTTATTGTACTTTATGTCATATACATTGCATCTAAAAAATATAATCTTTAAAAAGACATATCCCTCCCTTCCCCACAAGAAGTAAAAAAAAAAAAAATCTTGAATTATGTTCACAATGTCCTTTTCCCAAAGATAAATTTCTGCTTTCCCTTTTGAGAATTAGGCAAAAAATAGCACTCATGAGCCCACCTCTGCTAGCTTCCAAGTCCTCTTCTGCGGCTTCCTCCTCTGTCTCAGCCTTCATAGGACTGAGGAGAGTCAGGGCCTCGTCCTGGATTAGGCTTTGGCTCAAGGGAATGTTGTGGCTGGTTTGATCTCCTATCCAGACCGCTCAGACTGTCTCCGTATCAGCAACGGGCTGTTTCCCTTTCTTCGCACTTGTGTGTTCACTGGAGTAGCACTTGTGATTTCCTTCAAGAACTTTTCCTTTGCATTCGCAGCGTGGCGAAAGGTTTGGCACGAGACGCCTCGCTTTCTGCCTGTCTCAGCTTTCGGTTTGATCGAGACATGTGCGACTCCTCCTTTCACTCGGACACTTAGAGGCCCCTGCACGTTACTAATCAGCTTAATTTCAGTATTGTCATGTCCTAGGAAATAAGGAGGCCTGAGAAGAGGGAGAGAAATGGGGGAACAACTGGGTGGTGGAGTGGATAGAACACACCCAACGCGTTTATTGATTAAGTTGATCATCTTACACGGGTGCGGTTCATGGTGCCCCAACTATTACAATAGCAACATTGAAGATCACTGATCACAGGTCACCATGACACGTGTAATAATAGAAAATCCTGAAGTGAGAAGTACCAGAATGTGATGCAGAGACACCAAAAAAACACATTCTGTTGGGAAAATTGCACCGACAGGCTTGCTTCATGCCAGGTTACCGCAAACCCCCACTGTTTTGTAAAAACACAGTATTTGCAAAGTGCAGTAAAGCTAAGAGCAAGAAGAGGAGGCGTGCCTGCGTTGGTTTCCAACGGGCCAGGCAGAGAAGAGGGCTCAGGCTGTCACGCAGGTCCTTTCCCTGCCAAGGTGACACTGCCGGGTTTAGTAGTCTCCTTCCCCAAAATATAAAAAGTGACAGTGGAGCTGGCCCACTCTGCATTCGCTTCTGGTTCTTTAAAATTAGAGACATCTCACTGTGCCCTCTAAGGATGTTGTCCAGAGAACGCAACTGAAGGATCTGGTGATTGGGTGTGGGTTTGCAGATGTATCACTACTCTGCTGCTTCTCAATGAGAAGGTCTTATTTTTCGACGTCAGTGTTCCTTATGTTGCCTCTCTCTAACCAGTGCTCTCTTCTGAGCATACGTTAAATGTGCACGACGAACTAACACGGAGTGATTGGGTTGGAGTCTCACTCTGTTGCCCAGGCTGGAGTGCAGTGCCTTGATGTGGCTACCGCAGCCTTGACCTGCTGGGCTCAGGAAATCCTGCCGCCTCAGTTTTCCAAGTAGCTGGGACTACAGGCACGTGCCACCATGTCCAGATTATTGACTGATTGATTGACTGATTGTGGAGACAGGTCTCGCCATGTTGCCCCAGCTGGTCTTGAACTCCTGGGCTCAAGCAGTCCTCTCTCGTCTTGGTCTCCCACAGTGCTGAGATGACAGGTGTGAGTCTCCAGGCCCGACCAATAATTTAAAACTCTACAACAGCCAGAACCTCACCGGTGTCTCTTGTGTCCAGCTGAGTGTCACACTCAAGAGCCACACGTCTCCTTGGGGAACTTCTGCTAACTGCCGCGCGTATTCGCTGTGAAAGCTCTCGGGGACAGGGGACATGGTTTATTTGCTTTAGTACTCTATATGACTGAGGGTAAGAGGAGAGCCCTCCCGAAATCTTCCTTTGGAAAAGGAGTCTCTGCAAGTCCTGGCATTGTTTGTCAACTGACGGGCCCCTCTCAGTTATGCTGCTTTGTTGGGGACAGATTTATTATCCTGAAATGGCCTCATTCTTTGCTGATTTTACTGCCTGTTGGAACTGGTTTCCACACGTTGGTGGTGGTGACGGTGAGAGGGGTGGGGAAAGAACTTGATACTGAATCAACACTGACACCAAACTTGACTCTAGTGATGGTGATAACCAATGCCCCAAACTTTTGACAAATGAAACATGATTATCAGGGGAGGGGGATGGGAAGGAAGGAATAGTTCTAAATCTATATACTGTTTTATCTGATGGGATTTCTAATCAACAAATTAAAGATAAGCAGACAGTTGTTTCATGTACAGTTCTGAAAAGTTGCACATTTAAACTGACCCAACAACTGTTTTTTTGGGTTTTCACAGAGGAAAATCAGGAACAGTTTATACAACAGTGGTTCTCGAGGCTACCTGGGCCTTGGGATCACAGGGAAGCCCCCAGAGCAAGTCCACTGGACTCCCTGAGGGTGGGACTCAGGATCAGGACTTTTTAAGGCTCCCAAGTGAATCTAACATAGAGCTGATGTGCTCCAATCCCTTCTTTAAGGTGCTTTTATCAAAGCAGTTCAGGGACTAAGACTCTCTATTCAGTGCTCATTTCACTGTGCGCTACCACTAGACCATGCAGCGGGCCATCCAATAGGCCTCTCCTCAACTGGCTGAAGGTTTGGAGTCTAAATGAATTGAACTGGATTCCACTGGAAGAAGCGTACCCTGGAGGAAGGCGTGACTTGGGTAGCTAGAGTACCTCGTGGGGCCATTTTCTCTCATGCATGTCGTCTCCGGGAGAACATTCCACTGGACCAAGACACTGGGGTCCTGCTTTAGGAGACCCCAAACTGTGGGCTGCAGACCCACACATGCACCAAGATCTGTCTACAGACTAGACACATATATACATTTCTTCCCTATATATGAACTACACAGTTGTGTAGTTGCTGTTGTTACGAATAAAATATAAATGAATATAAACATGTCATTGACTTCATAATGGGCATTCTTTCTTGTCTGGTTTTTCAGTCAAGACAAGAATCGTCATGTAGAGGTCTATAAGCTTTTTGATGTCATAAAGAGGGTTCCAGCTCTGGAAAAACATGGAGATCGGTGAAGGTGACAGTGTGAACTGAGCAACCCAGCTGCCTGTGTTTGAATCCTGGGTCCACTGTTTGCACCTGGGAGGGGGGCAGGACGGCCCCTTGCAGCCTTGGTATTTTCATCTGCAGAGTGGACATCACAGCAGGACCTGGCTCACAATTTATGTAAAGCTTGTGGCAGAGGTGCTAGCCAAGGCCTGACCAAGATTAGCTCTTACTCTGTGTAACCATGATCACCTCCCAAACTGTTCTATGCTTGGGCAGCTTGCCCCAGAGAGAGTCTCTGAGTGGCTGGCATCAAGACTTCAGGTCACGTCTATCACGTTTTGGCCAAACTCCCCCAGGGCTGCCCTACTGGGTGTGACGCGAGGAAGGTAGTCGCTTACCTCATGGGTTTGAACATGGCCTTCCCGAAATCCGAGAGCCTCAGCACGAGCTTGAGGTGGACCCCACTGGGCTTCACAACTGTGGAGGGGCAGAAGGGAATGTCAGCAGTGCTCTGGGCCTCAGCGCAAGCTTATGATTCTGGTTCGTTCAACAAAGCCAGTCGGTTTCTCTTTTCTCGTATTTATAAGACCCTAGAGGCTTCAAGCCTCGGACATGGGACGTCACACGCAGAAACGTCTAATGTGCGTTCAGCACACTGAGGTAGATGGAGGGGACTGCCTGTGGCCAGCAGTGACTGGGCTACCTGGAACCATGTGACGGCACCCCCAGCGGGAGCTCTGTTGCTCTCACTCCTAGTGCTTTGATTCCGTCAATCATCAACTCCAGAGGGTCTCAACCTTGACTTAGAATCACCCAGAACATTTTAACCTCAGATGCCTGAGCCTTATCCCTGCTCTTGTCAAAACCCCTGGAGGCAGAAGCCAGGCAACTCCTGTCAGAGCTCCTCAGGGGACTCTAATATATCGCCAGCATTGTGAACCACTGTCCTGTACAATTGCTTCTTTTTTTTTTTTTAGTTGGAGTCTCACTCCGTCGCCCAGGCTGGAGTGCAGTGGCATGCTCCCAGCCACCACAGCCTCGACCTGCTGGGCTCCGGCGATCCTTCCGCCTCAGCCTTCCAAGTAGCCAAGACTACAGGCGTGCGCTACCATGCCTGGCTAATTTTTGATGTATTGTAGAGACGAGGTCTCGCCAAGTTGCCTGGGCGGGTCTCAAACCCACAGGCTCAGGCAATCCACTCGCCTGGGCTCCCAAAGTGCTGGGATGACAGGCTGAGCCACTGAACCCGGCCTACAATTGCTTCTTAGATGTGAAAATGTACTCCAACCACTTGAGGATTTTGTTAAAATTCAGATTCTGATTCAGAAAAATCTGCGAAGACAGAGGCTCTGCACTGCTAACAAGCCCCTAGTGGTGCTGAGGACGTGTGCCTGTTCCTGGACCGCGGTGACCCGTGGGACCCCACCCGAGCACGCCTCTGAGACGCCTGTTCTCTTTGTGGGTGGGTGGAAAGAAGTGTTAAGTTCTCCGAGGCAAGGAGGAGAGAGCCACGCTCCTTCCCCTTGGGGCTGGGGTCCCCACGGAGGTGGATCTAGCGTCTGCAGCTGGGGGGGGTGCTGGCTCACTTACTCTGGGTGCAGTCACAGGCCCCAAGCAAGGCTTTCTCGTCTTGACTGTAATCTGGGAGGAAGAAGAAGGGTGGTGAGAACTCACAGCCCTGCTCCTGGGAGAGCCCCCCGTGCAGGAGGAGACAGCAACCGGCTGGGGCCTTCGACCCTTCTGAAACCCAGAGGCTGCAGCCACCACCCTGCTTCACCCCTGGCCCCATGTCCTCCAGCCCTTCACGGGACACTTCAGCAGCACCTGGCTGAGAGAGGGAGTCTAGTTTTATCTCTGCTAATCATTTGCTGTCCCTTAGACTGTGGTAGTGCTTGGGAACACAGACTTGGAGTCCGCAAGCCTGTGTCTGAATCCCAGCTCCACCCCTGGATTTTTGGGCAAGTCCCTTGACCTCTCCAAGTCTCAGTTTCCCCATCTGTAAAATGGCAACGATGATGTTCATGCCACAAGGTCATTGGATGAGAGCAAAGCACTCAACAAACGGCATCGCGTGCCTTCCTCTAAGTGTGCAGAACACCTGCCTACGCTCTTGCTGGGGTTAGGATGAGATTGCATTCAAGTCTCTTTGGAAGGGAAAAAGGTCAGTGTCTATGTTCTTCTTCTGCCTCTCGGGTGTCAGTATCAAGCCTTTCGTGCTCCACCCCGAGCACCCTGAGCTGGTTCCCCGAGGCCCGTCCGGGAGAGCCGCCCCTCCTGCCTGGTGCCAGGGGCCTCACCGGCACTGATGGTGGGAAAATGCCTCATGTCGTGCAGAAGCGCGCTGACGACGGGACTGGACCGAGAGTAGAGCCCGTGGCGGCTGATCCCCAGGTGGAACTGGACCCAGCTGGCCTCGGGGCGGAGCTGCAGTGGGGCCTCCAGGGCGGTGATGTTCATCTGCTCTCTGTATATCTTGTGCCGTCTGGAAGAGCCAGAATGGGTTGTTGCTTTTTAAATCGGAGGAGCAAGCATGCAAAGACCTGCCAAAGTACCCGGTTCAAAGTACCTGGTTCATTCTTCAGCACCTGACAAGGACTCGGCCTCATGCTGTGCTTGGGATGCCACAGGACACAGCCTCCTCAGAGAGCTTCCGCTCTAGTGAGCGAAACAGGCAGTGGCTACACAATACCCCACATGCGCAACACACAAGATGGAATGACCAACCATTCCAAATCCCGGGAAGGAGAAAGGCAGGCTGTGGAGAGTCCAGTTAGGGGCCTCGTGTCATCTGGGGTCTCCGGAGAGACCCCATGTGCACTTTCCCATGAAAAGTCTACAACTTGGACCTCCCAGTATTTATGTCCTGAGGAGCCAGGAGCCAGGAGCCAGGGGAGAGGAGGTAATCGCGAATGAAAAGAACAGAGGGCGAGAATTCTTAAGAGGGGCTGGAAGCTCAGTCCAATTAATCTGCGCGTCACAAAGGAGAAGAGGGATACGTGAGCCGTTTCTTGGTAGACTTTTCTGCCAGCACAAAAAGAAACAAGGAACAAGCAACGGAGTTTCCATTTAGAGGTTCAGAGTCTAGTCTGGGAGACGAGTTCATGTCTGCTGTCAATCAACGGCGGGACATGGTGTTCAGGGAAGCACCTTAATGTTCTGGAGAAAGGAAAAGATGGCTCTGGGAAGGAGCGGCTGGGGCCGCCTACAGTGGGAGAAGGCAGACTTCAGCTGGATCCCACAGAAGGGGAGGGGCCTGGGTTGGAGGGGAGGGGAAGGTCCCACTGATGGTAACACTGAGCACTACAAGAGGCGAGCCCGGGTCAGCGTATCTGGGAGGAGAGAGGAAGGCTGAAGAAACGGACTGCTGAATTACAAGGTGGAGGCCTTTGGCCTGGAAGGCAAGTTAGCAAAGTGTCAGCAGCCGGGTAAAGCTCGTTGGGAGGGCGGGGTTTGGGGGTTCCTATAGACCCCTGTTTCTCAGACTATGATGTTAAACCTCTGGGGTCTGGCCATGGGGTGAGTAACAAAACAAACGTGACTGATCTCAGAGCGTCAGATCTTCTCATTGGTAAAGAGTGGTGACACATGACTTTTCTATTAAAATAAACATAGACAGATTATAAGGAAGAAAAATCATTCACGTGGGCGCATCAGACTGTCTCCAGGAGTCTAGATCCTCAGGGATAGAAGGCCCTTTTTTTCTGCACTGCCCCTCCTGGAGGGGTTTGAGGTTTGAAAAGCGCTAAATGCAACTTGGGTCGTGGAGTTCTGGCACCACGGAATCACGCAGGCATCTGCCATTCCCCACCTGACCCTTGTGGAAGTAAAGTAAAACAATATAGCTGTCCTTCACTGGAGCGTCCCATCATGGGTGAAAGTCAGTCGGCTTGAGGAAGAGGCTCCTTCTCGTAAACTGACGTCAAGAAAGAGAGGCCGGGAGCGTCGGCCCTGGCCTTCCCTGTCCCTGCTCTGGGACTCCTGCAGCCTCTGCGCATGCCTACTTTGGGAGACATGCAGCTCATATCTTATCAAACATATTAAATTCACCCCACATGAAATGTGGGGTTTTGTCCCTATAATTTTTGAACATTTTCTGTGACCACTTTAAGAATCCTGTTAAGAATAAAGTATTAGTGTTAAGACTATATGAGTTTACACTGCGTCATCGTTTTGTAAACACTTAATTACCTGTTAATCATTTTTGATTTTGGAGTTCTCTTTTCATCTTTGAGCTAGTACATCTTCTTTGTTCACGTCTTGGAGTGTTTTTAACATTTTGGGATGTCGCAGGCACGGGGCCCAGGATGCTGGTGGGTAAAGGAGCCTGACCTGCTGTTTCAGTCTACCATAATGACATGCCACGGACTGGGGAGCTTAGACAGCGGACATCTATTTCTCACAGTTCTGGAAGCTAAAAGTTCAAGATCAAGATGTCAGCAGGATTGGTTTCTCCCGAGGTCTCTCCTTGGCTCACAGGTGGCTGTGTCCTCATGTGGTCTTTGCTCTGTGTGTGTGTATCCTTGGTGTCTCTTCCTCTTCTTGTAAGGACACCAGTCCTACTGGATCAGAGCCCTGCCTTGATGATCTCATTTAACTTCAGTTACCTCTTTGAAGACTCTATCTCCAAAGACAGTCACACGGAGGTTTGGGTTTCAGCACATGAACTTGAGAGGTGCGGAAGTCAGTCCATAACGCCTCTCACAATCTTTGCTTCTAGCTACCAGCAAGGCCCACTCCGGAAGACATTCTTCTAGACGGCCAGGGAGAAAAAAGAGGGAAGTGGTAGGGTTGCAAGGCAGGAGTACCCATTAGAACTTTGTATCTAGGCATGTTTCCACCTGCCAGCACAATTGATCCAGACTCTTCTCCGATGGGCAGGGCTGCCTACCTTTTTTTCTGGGAACCAAGGTTAAGCGTTTTCCGGCAGTATAGATACACATTACATGTGCATGTACCAGTCGGCTTGGGCTGCTATAACAAATGTCATAGACTGGGCGGCTTAAACAACTACCAGCTGTTTTTCATAGTTCTGAAGGGCAGAAAGTCCCAGATCAAGGTGCTGGCAGATTTGGCTCTCCTCCTGGCTTTCAAATGGCCGTCTTCCTGCTGGGTTCTCACCTGGCAGAGAGCACGATATCTATCTTGTCTCCCTTTCTCTTCTTAGGACACTAATATCTTTAGAGGAATCCCTCTCCCTGTGATCTCATCTAAACCTAATTACCTCCCAAAGCTCCACCTCCAAATATTTAAGGTTAGGGCTTCCAATATACAAATTCTGGGGGCACACAAACATTCAGTCCCTAGCAATATGCACTTTGCTTCTCCACCCCTGGCTTATCAATAGATAACATTTACTTAACAGGTATCAAATGCCTTGAGCAGTTACTGATTTTTGTTATTTCAGAAATAGGTAGAGATATTTCTCCCTAAAAAGGCAGCTTGTTTTTCAGTCAGCTACTCTTGAGCAGGTAAGAGTTTCCAGTTACGTTCTTGACCTATGTGTTAGAGCCCTTCTTCAGCCAAGAGATGCTGGCCAAGAAGCCGAGTTGTCTGTGAGTTGCTTCTCTATTCTTTCTCTACCTTTGAAGTAACTCCCAAGTTGGAAAGGAAGGGCAGGAAACCAAGAAGCACTCTGCCAGTATCTTTCAATTCTGTGACGGTAACTTCCCCAACCGTTCAAGAAGATGAGAGGAGACGGGGTGGTCAGTTCTGGCTCTAGCAGGCCTTTGAGCTGTCAGGGATAGTTTACCCTGGCGTCAATCCAGCAACCTGCCACTTCTCGCCCCGATCCACACGCCACTTACTTCAGTCTCCACTCTGGGAAACACTACCCAAAGAGATGTCCTTTCAGCATGCCAGCATCAAATTCGACTTCTTATTGGGAACACTCTGGCTCCTGACTCAGGGTTTCAGGAGTTGGACTTGGGATCTTTGGGAGCCAATGTTCAGTGGCTGGCTTTCCAACCTGATGTCTGAGGCAGGTTTCCTGAGTCTTCAGTAATCAGGGTCTTGCCCCTGATGCTGGTATTGACCGTGGGCCTCTTTGGCTCTGCACTGCTACCTTCCTTCTTGATGTTTGAGCTCACAGTCTATTGGGTCGTCTGCCACTTGCCTTCCCTCCCAGAGCTCTGCCAGCAGGCTACCTGCTTGGGTAGGTTCTGATGCTTGACACCTAGTCATCTTATCAAGACTTGGTCCTCCAGTTTCCTCCAAATTTCTAACCACGTGTTTGTTTCACTAATCTTGTTCTTTATGTTCTGTCTGCATTGGCATCTAGGACCCTGAGACTGTCCTTGGACCTAATTTGATGGCATCCTCCTTCTACTTATTCTTGGGTTTACTTTTCCTTCCATATTCTTCCTCCCTGATCACTTCTAGAGAGATAGCTCCACTGGCTCTGTCCCTGTTCATTTGCTTTATTGGATGAGTCTTCCTGGGACAACCACTTCTTCCTCTCTTTCATCTTCTCGTGTAATATTTCATATTTCCTGTTGCTCAAGACTTGATTCTGAAAACAACTAACCAGAAAGAAAGACTCGAGGAGACACAATTCTGAATTTCGACACCTAGCATCATGGTTGAGAGCAGGGACAAGCATACAGGTAGAGGAGACACAGATGGAAGGAAATAGAAAGAAAGCCAAGATTGTTGAGCAATGATGCCAAGTTTGGAAGGAACCTAAAAGACCATATAAGCCAACTTCCCTTCCCTCTCATAACATTCCTACCAAGGAGTTGTCTACCTTATACTTGATCAGCCCCAATGAAGAGATGAACCAAATGCAGAGCAGAGCAGCTGAATCCACCTGTGCAACTCTGTCAGAAAGCACTTTTTTTTTTGAGTCGGAGTCTCACTCTGTCGCCCAGGCTGGAGTGTGGCGGCCGCTCCCGGCCACCGCAGCCTCGACCCGCTGGGCTCCGGCGATCCTTCCGCCTCAGCCTTCCCAGTAGCTGGAACTACAGGCATGCGCTACCACGCTTGGCTAATTTTTGCTTAGCCAAACAGACTAAGACGGTTCTGCTTACCCATTTCCCTCCTATTTCTGACACTCAGAATGCAATGCAATCCACCAGACATGATTGCTCAGTGCAGAGGAGAATGGGGTAATTGCCACCCCTACTCTAGATGTTTTCTTCTACAGACTCAACCAAGGACTGGATACTTTTGGGAAATCATATCCCGTATCTCTGTGGAGAGCGCGGCCTGAGCCAAGATGGCGCCCGGGACCCCTGCCAAGTCCCATGATTAGGCGCATGATATACCGCCGGGCCCTCCTTCACTGCGCACCGCGCAAGTGCAACGCTGCAGAGCCTATGAACTGCTGACACGCTGGAACGGGACTTGTGGGTGGAGACCAAGGGATATAAGTACGGGACAACGGGGAAGTAGAAGTAGAAAAAGGGAAGAAGCTAGAAGAAGAAAGAAGAAGCTAGAAGAAGCTAGAAGGAAGAGAAGAAGCTGGCATGCTGTAAAGGCTGAATAAACCGCTTTGAGAAGAACACGTTGTTGTTGCCTCCTTCCTGCTGGCCAGGGGTGAGCGACATATCTCCAAGAAAGTATGAGGGAGTTTTATGGCAGGCAGAATTCTAAAACTGGCCTCCAAGATTCCAGGCCCTCATTTCCAGAACCTGTGAATGTGAAGAGCTCTCACTCCATGACTGGGCCATGTTCCATGGTACCTTTGAAGGGAGTATCCACCACCGGGAGGTTATCCAGCCGGGCTTGATCTAATTCCATGAGCCCTTAAGAGCAGAAAGTTTTCTTTGCCTGGTAGCAGAAGGAAAAACCAGAAAGATGCAAAGCATCAGAGGGACGGATACACTGTTGGCCACTCTTCATTGTCCATGGTTCCGCCATCCTTTTTATTTTTCTTTTTTTGAGTTGGAGTCTCACTCGGTCGCCCAGACTGGAGTGCAATGGCCGCTCCCAGCCACCGCAGCCTCGACCCGCTGGGCTCCGGCGATCCTTCCGCCTCAGCCTTCCCAGTAGCTGGAACTACAGGCGCGCACTACCACGCCCGGCTCATTTTTGATTTATGGTAGAGATGAGGTCTCGCCAAGTCGCCCAGGCAGGTTTCGAACGCGCGGGCTCAGGCAGTCCACT